GGGTGATTCCAAAACGAGGTGAAAGATGGCTTCCTGAATCACGATTTTGGCACAAGAATCACCGGAAAAGGATAAGGAATAGTGAAATAAAATGTTTCAAGTGTTTGGGAAGAGGTCACATAGCTTCAGAATGTCCAACTAAGAAGACTATGTTACTTAAAGAGGATGGAGAGATTACTAGTGAGTCTTCTTCAGATTCTGCCTCACATGATGATGAAGATGAGTATGAGGAGGAAATTATACCGGAAGGAGATTTATTTATGGTAAGAAGGATGTTGGGTAGCCAAGTAAAAGACATGGATGATAGTCAAAGAGAGAACATTTTTCATACTAGATGCCTTATCCAAGGAAAGATATGTTCTTTAATTATTGATGGAGGGAGTTGTACCAATGTTGCAAGTGCTAGAATGGTGTCTAAATTGGGCATGGAAACCAAACCTCACCCGCTGCCATATAAGCTTCAATGGCTTAGTGAGGATGGTGAAGTGACCGTAAGCAAACAAGTGGAGGTGAACTTCTCCATAGGAAAGTATGATGATACAGTTTTATGTGATGTGGTACCAATGGAGGCTTGTCATTTGCTTCTTGGGAGACCTTGGTAATATGATAAGAAAGTTATGCATGATGGTTACACCAACAAATTCTCTTTTGTGCATGAAGAACGCAAGACTATTCTTGCACCTTTGACTCCAAGAGAAGTTAGTGAGGATCATTTGAAAATGAGAGATAAAAGAAAGCAAGAGAGAAAAGAAAGTGGAGAGAAAAAGGGGAAAGAGAGTGGAAGAGAGCAAGAAAAGAGAGAGAAAAAAAGAGAGAAAAACACAAAATTTGTTTATAAAAGAAAAAGAGGTGAAAAAGGCTATACAATTGAAAAAGCCAATGCTCTTACTTTTGAGTAAAGAGTGTAATAATATCAAAGATGCCAGTCCTACTAACTCTCTTCCAAATGAGGTTTCTTCTTTGTTGCAGGAATTTGAAGATGTCTTTCCCAAAGAGGTGCCTCATGGACTGCCTCCTCTAAGAGGCATTGAACATCAAATTGATCTCGTGCCGGGAGTTGCATTTCCTAATAGGCCAGCCTATAGGAGTAACCCCCAAGAGACCAAGGAGATTCAGAGACAAGTTGAAGACTTGATGAAAAGAGGATGGGTGCAAGAAAGCTTAAGTCCATGTGCAGTCCCAGTCCTTTTAGTGCCTAAGAAAGATGGAACCTGGAGAATGTGCACTGACTGTAGAGCCATCAATAACATCACGGTAAAGTATAGACATCCTATTCCTAGATTGGATGATTTATTGGATGAATTGCATGGTGCTTGTTTCTTCTCTAAAATTGATTTAAAAAGTGGATACCATCAAATTAGGATTAGAGAAGGGGATGAATGGAAAACAGCTTTTAAAACTAAATATGGGCTGTATGAATGGTTGGTTATGCCCTTTGGTTTAACCAATGCTCCTAGTACCTTCATGAGACTAATGAATCATGTGTTAAGGGAGTTTCTAGGAAAGTTTGTTGTGGTTTATTTTGATGATATTATGATTTATAGCAAATCCTATGATGATCATCTTGTGCACTTGAGGTATGTTGTGGAAGCACTAAGGCATGAGAAATTGTATGCTAACATGGAAAAATGTGTGTTTTGTATAGACCATGTTGTTTTTCTTGGTTTTGTTGTTAGCTCACAAGGAGTGCAAGTTGATCAAGAGAAGGTGAAATCTATTCAAGAGTGGCCAACTCCTAAGAATGTAAGTGAGGTGAGAAGCTTTCATGGCTTAGCTAGTTTCTATAGGAGATTTGTTAAAGATTTCAGTACCATAGCTGCACCCTTGAATGAAGTGATTAAAAGGCATGTTGGTTTTAAATGGGGTGAAAAACAAGAGAAAGCCTTTGCTGCCCTCAAAGATAAATTAACTCATGCACCTATTCTTGTATTGCCTAATTTTTCTAAATCTTTTGAGATTGAATGTGATGCATCTAATGTGGGGATAGGGGCTGTTTTGATGCAAGAGGGGCATCCCATTGCCTATTTTAGTGAAAAACTGAATGGGGCTGCTCTTAATTATTCCACATATGATAAGGAATTGTATGCATTGGTAAGGGCTTTGCAAACATGGCAACACTATCTCTTGCCCAAAGAGTTTGTCATCAACAGTGACCATGAGTCCTTAAAGTACTTAAAAGGACAAGGCAAGCTTAACAAAAGGCATGCCAAATGGGTAGAGTTCTTGGAGCAGTTTCCCTATGTGATCAAGCACAAGAAAGGTAAGTCTAATGTAGTTGCAGATGCACTTTCAAGAAGGTATGCTTTGTTCTCTACTCTTGAAACTAAGTTTATTGATTTTGATTATATTAAGGCATTGTATGAGCATGATCCAGACTTTGCACAAATCTATGAAACTTGTGTGGATGCTGCTCAAAATGGATTCTTTAGGCATAATGATTACTTATTTAAAGAAAAGAGATTGTGTTCCTAAAGGTTCTATTAGGGAATTACTTGTGAAAGAGGCACATGCGGGGGGATTAATGGGACATTTTGGAATCCAAAAGACTCTAGACATGCTGCATGAACATTTTTATTGGCCACACATGAAGCGTGATGTACATAAATTGTGTGAAAGATGCATTGTATGTAAGCAATCTAAGTCTAAATTATTGCCTCATGGGTTGTATACTCCTTTACCTATTCCAGATTGCCCTTGGATTGATATTTCTATGGATTTTGTGTTAGGACTACCTCGGTCTAAAAATGGTAAAGATTCTATTTTTGTTGTGGTGGACAGGTATTCTAAGATGGCACATTTTATTCCGTGCAAAAAAGTTGATGATGCAATCCATATTGCTGATTTGTTCTTCAAGGAAGTGGTAAGACTCCATGGACTTCCAAGAAGCATTGTCTCTGATCGTGATACTAAATTCTTAAGCCATTTTTGGAGGACATTATGGAGTAAGTTGGGGACTAAACTTCTCTTTTCTACTACTTGTCATCCACAAACTGATGGCCAAACTGAGGTAGTGAATAGAACTCTTTCTTCTCTTTTGAGGGGTGTAATTAAAAAGAACATCAAGTCATGGGAACAATGTTTGCCCCATGTTGAGTTTGCATATAACCGGGCAGTTCATAGTGCTACTCATTATTCTCCTTTTGAAATTGTTTATGGCTTTAACCCTCTCACTCCTCTTAATTTGCTACCTTTGCCTAACAACTCTATTTTTCAACATAAAGATGGTAAGAGTAAGGCTGAATATGTGCGAAAACTACATGAAAGGGTAAAAGCAAACATTGAGAAAAAGGTAGAGAGCTATGCTAAGCAGGCAAATAAAGGAAGGAAGAAGGTAATTTTTGAACCAGGTGATTGGGTTTGGGTTCATTTGCGAAAAGAGAGGTTCCCTTCCCAAAGGAAATCTAAGCTTCAACAAGAGGAGATGGCCCTTTCCAAGTGCTGTCCAAAATTAATGATAATGCCTACAAAATAGACCTTCCTGGTGAGTATGGTGTAAGTGCTACTTTTAATGTGGCTGATTTGTCCCTTTTTGATGCAGGAGACGAGGATTACAATTTGAGGACAAATTCTTCTAAAGAAGGAGGGAATGATGAGGACATAGGAGGTGGCATGACCAAGACAACAAACTTGGAGGACATACAAGGTCTTGGAGGCCCAATGACAAGAGCAAAAGCTAAAAAGGCTAAAGAGGCTCTAAATCTCTTGGTGACCACTTTACTTGAGACAAGCCCAAGTCTAAAGGAAGAAGAGCCCAAAATGATACACTTAATTAAAATTGAAGACCTTGAAGAATAAGCCTCAATGGATATGCATGAAGGCTTTATTTTACTTGGCCCAAATTCTGCACTTAATTTTTTATTTTCTTATATTTAGTTAAACTTTTTGTAATAAGGCTTATTGGGCTGGATTATTGGGTTGTCTATCTTCTTTTATGTGTAAGTACTTTTAGGTTAAACTCAATATGGTTGTTGCCCACTATATAAGGGAACACCATGGCTTTTGAAGACAGATTTGGAATATCAAGTTAACCTATTTTGGTGAGACTAGTTCTCTTGGGTTCTTTTGAGAATCTCTGAACTTATCAAGGGCATCAATCCTTGTGGCGTTCTTGGGCTTATCAATTCCTTTGAATTGTGGCGCCTACCTATAATCCTTAAACTCCAATTTCGTTCTATATTATCTTGGATTCATATCTCTCGAATTCCTTATCCTTTTCCGGTGATTGTTGTGCCAAAATCGTGATTCAGGAAGCCATCTTTCACCTCGTTTTGGAATCACCCAAATCCGAGGTCTGTAGCATGAGATACGCTCTGTTCTTAACAGGTCATGTTGGTGGATGAATTTGGGGTTAGAATTCCATTCCTAGTAGATCCATTCCTCCATTCCTATTGGGGATCACATCATTAGTGATTGGGCCAAGGCTTTTGTATAATTGATGTGGGCTTGGGTCTTTATGTGTATACTATTCGGGCCAAATCTTTTTCAATAAAATGGGCTTGCATTGCTTGGGCTTAAATCCTTTCTCACTTGGTCTTAACTTATTTACATTCTTAAGCCGATTAGGCTATGATATTGGTTGGGCTTTAAACCTTATTGAGTTGGGTTCTTACTTATCTTAGTTAGCGTGGGTTCAAGGTCGTTCTAACTTAGGACTAGTTTTGCTTTTTTCAAAAGCTAATCGTTCACTGAATATAGGCTTTGCCCCTTTGATTTCATTTCATCAGACTAATTTCGAGTACATGATTTTTGGGTTCTTACATCCACCCTACCTAATAAAATTTTCGTCCCGAAAATTACAAACATTCTAAGTCGGGATACTTCTGTCGGATCTCGTCTACTCGCTCCCAAGTTGCTTCTTCAGGAGTCCTTCCTTGCCATTGCACCTTCACCATTTGTATCACTTTGCTACGAAGGCGCTTCTCTTCCTTGTCTAGAATCTTGTAGGGTACCACCGGGATCTTCAGGTTGGGTCTTACTTCCACAGTATCTAGTAATACAACATGGGAGGGATCCGCCAAGTACTTCTTCAACTGGCTTACATGGAATACAACATGAAGGTTTGCCAGATTTGGTGGTAATGCCAATTGATAGGCTACCGGTCCTACCCTTTTCAGAATCTGATAGGGACCGATATAGCGTGGACTTAACTTCCTTACACCAAGAGCTCTCCCAACACCAGTGACAGGGGAGAGTTTGATGAATACATGATCCCCTACTTCAAATTCTAGGGGTCGGTGCTTCAAGTCATAGTAACTTTTCTGTCGATCTTGGGCTTTTCGCAGCCTGTCGCGGATCATCTTGATCTGTTCTGTCGTTTCTCTGATCATGTCTGGTTCGAACAACTCTTTGTCGCCAACTTCTTCCCAACATACAGGTGTGCGACACCTCCTTCCATAGAGTACTTCGTATGGAGCCATGTCGATACTAGCATGATGACTGTTGTTGTAAGAAAATTCTGCCAACGGCAGATACTGATCCCAACATCCTTCCTTCTCTAAGGCGCAGGCCCGCAACATGTCTTCGAGTGTTTGTATTGTCCTTTCAGTCTGGCCATCTGTCTGGGGGTGATAAGCCGTGCTCAATCGCAGTTGGGTCCCGAGCGCCTGCTGCAATGAAGACCAGAATCGGGATGTAAACTTAGGATCCCAATCACTGATTATGCTTTCAGGAACACCGTGCAACCTTACTATTTCTTTCACATAAATCTGAGCCAGCTTCTCTATCGTGTAAGTCCCCTTTACCGGTATGAAGTGTGCTTATTTGGTCAGTCTGTCGACCACTATCCAGATGGCATCGTAGCCTGCTTGAGTTCTGGGTAAACTTGTTACGAAGTCCATCGATATGCTCTGCCATTTCCACTCTGGGATGCTCAAGGGTTGAAGGGTGCCTGCCGGTTGCTGATGTTCAATCTTTACTTTCTGGCACCTTATCCGCAGTTTAAATGTCTAAGGTAATAGGAATAACATATTACAATCATCCAAAATATAAGTTAAGTACACCATTAGTAAGGGGCATCCTCAATCCACAAGGATTCAGTGTAGTCATAATGTCCAAATAACTCAAACCATACGGTATACATGGCTTGCAAAATCTTTCCTTCCTTATAAAGTTCATTAAGTTTATTCGTAAGTTGCTGCCTTTCGTCCTCTTCAAGGCGTACCAGCCTCTTGCCTTCCCTTACCCATTTGGTCATTTTTACCTGAAAGTGGGATCCCCAAAGAGGGGTGAGATTGGGGGTCTCAGTAAGGACTCACAGTTGGAGCAACCTCCAAACCATGATGCTTACTCCTGCAACTGTCATAATAACATATACAATAATAGAATGGAAAACATTTGAAACATAGTTTGGAAAATAATCATGCTTTCATTTCATCATACCAAACCTGCCATGGCAATTACTCTCCATGGTCTTACGGACGAATACCCAGGGTCCTCGTCAGGTTGCCTCTGTGGTATTAGTGCACAGGCCATCATAATACAACTTGCATGAACAAAACATTAGTTCCAGACAGCCAAACATATCATGTACAACATCATACAACAAATTGCAGTCAGACCACACTTTAACATAAAGGGGTGGCAACCATAGGGAAACCACTACAACAACCGTAAATCACTTACACTTTTTCGCTTTGTAAATTCTTCCCGTAGGTGATGGATTCGACCAAATGAAGGTCCTAGTATCTTGGATCTCTTTTCAAGCTTTGGTTTGTCCTAGTCACATAATCAACCTTAGTACATGGTTCTAAAATTAAAAGATCTAAACTTAATATCCTTCATGTCATAGGTTCGGCCCTTTAAGGATGAAAATGCCTAGGAGATAATTTTTACTAGTTGTTTTCATGCCTAGGTCATATTCTATGGCATACATTTCGGCCATACATCATGGTACTAAGAAAACATTCACACATTTCCCTTTGAGGCTTATTAGGGTTCGGCCATTTAGAGGGTGCATACCTAGGGATAATTTTGATAACATGTTCATGGGTTTAATACTCATCAAGTTCGGCCATTTAGGGTTAATGCCATTTAGGTGGTGATTCTTCAAATAATGCTTTCCTATATGTTTGTTTAAAACATTTACTTCAACACTTTTCATGTTACCTTAAAGAACATATTCAATATCTAGTAGGGTACATATAGATTCGGCCATTTAGGGTTATGTTTGCTTAGTAAACATTGTGAAGATTTAGATGGTGCATGCATACCATTTAGGTTCGGCCATTTAGAGATGATATACTTAGGAGGTGATTTCAAGGGTGATAGATGCATGGATGGCTTTATTAGTCTGAGATCTAGTCATGTAAATTCGTTAGGGTTCATTCTACTAGCTTGAAGAGATGAAGGGCTCATAAGATCTTACCTTAATGATGATCGTGAGTTCTTAACCAATGTTTCACACTTGATCTTCAAGTAGTCTTCTAGGATTGAGAGTTGCTTCCAACAACCTCTTGGACTTTCTCTTTGTGGGTGAAGACAAGGGAGTTTGGAGAGCTTAGAAGAGTATTGAGGTGATCTTAGGTCCTTTAACTTGATATGGCCGAGGCATAGGAGCAAGGGAAGATGATGTGTTCAAGTGTTTTTGCTTGCTTGGCTTGTTGAGAGGGAGAGATGGCCGAAGCCAAGGTGTGAGGAGAAGAGAAGTCCTTTGCCTTATGTCTTGGTATTGCACGGCCTTGTGGGGGAGGGGGAAAAGCTTTTTGCCCTTTCTTTTATTTAGGCTTTGTCATCATTTTCTTTAGGGTTTTGGTGAAGTGTACTTGAGTGTTACTTGGGAGTGTGAAGGAAGCTTCTAACATGCATTGGGGAAGGATGGTGCTTGAGTGTGGAGTGTTTGAGTGAAAGAAGAACACTTTCTTGTCTTGGTGAGCATGGCCGTGACATGTGGGGGAAAGGGAAACCTTTTCTTAATTTTTTATTCAACTCTTTTCATGTCATAGGCGCTTGATTCAAGGAGGGTTTGAGTGTGATAAGGTTTCTTGGTTCCTTGTGGTGTGTCATGCATGGCTTGAGTGTGTAAGAAGAAAGCTTCTTTTTCTTGTCATGTGTGCGTCCTCTAAGGTAGCTTAAGGGAAAGTAGTGTTGCTTTTGGTTAAGGTAAGTCACATGCATTGGTTAGGTTTGGAGTGTGGAAGAAGCAATCCTCCTTCTTCCTTCTTGTTTGCGTCGTCCAATGTAGGATGGGAAAGGAGAGTTGCTTTTTGGAGAAAGAAGATCACATGCATGGTTAAGGCTTGGAGTGTATCTTACACAATCTCTTACTTGTCCATTCTTTCCTTAAGTGGCGCCTAGGGAGTGTGGAAAGCAACCCCACTCCCTTTTCTTCTTATCATGGCCGAGTTTGATATTTGAGGGGGGTGGAGCTCATTCAAATTCCTCCAATCATGTGGTGACACCTCATCAAGGGTTTATCTTTTGAATTGGGTTGGGCTTGGTGGGTGTTTTCAGCCCATTAAGTTACTAGAAGTTGGATCATTAGTGATTGGGCCAAGGCTTTTGTATAATTGATGTGGGCTTGGGTCTTTATGTGTATACTATTCGGGCCAAATCTTATTCAATAAAATGGGCTTGCATTGCTTGGGCTTAAATCCTTTCTCACTTGGTCTTAACTTATTTACATTCTTAAGCCGATTAGGCTATGATATTGGTTGGGCTTTAAACTTTATTGAGTTGGGTTCTTACTTATCTTAGTTAGCGTGAGTTCAAGGTCGTTCTAACTTAGGACTAGTTTTGCTTTTTTCAAAAGCTAATCGTTCACTGAATATGGGCTTTGCCCCTTTGATTTCATTTCATCAGGCTAATTTCGAGTACATGATTTTTGGGTTCTTACAATCACTCCACCCCATGGTTCACTCAATGTACATACAATGATCATCATATAAAATGCATAACATACAAAATCACATAACACTGGGCTCACTTCCAAGAACATCCACATGAAAGAAAATGGCCTTGAAGGCCGATGGCATGTGAGGATGAAAACAAAAAATTTTCAAAGCGGAATCACACATGCTAATCAAGATACATGCTTTAAGACAATATGATGTACCTTGCTCGTGATTCAAAACTCTAAGATGATCAGTGTTAGGTTTGAAGGTTCAAACCTTCTAACATTGATCCACACCACCCTACGTCAAGATGCAAGAACCCTCCCTTCTTGAAAAGCCACCAAACGAGCACCACAAGGAAGGCACTTTAGGCGTCCCAATAAGAGAAGAAGGAGGCAAGGTTAATGTATTTAGATGAGTGAATTTTTCAGCATGAAAAACTCACAAAGTGGCGCATGGATTCTATGAGAAAAGGCTAGGTAATTTTCGAAAAAACCTTAAAGAGAACCTCACAAAAGGAAGGACACTTGGAGATGAGAGAATAATTGAATTGAATCAGATTTTTCTCCAAAAAATATGACCTATGTAGCGCCCAATGGTGGAGGAATAAATGGAGTTGTTGCAATTCAAATCTAGCCAACAACCTCCTATCATCCTCATGAGACTAAGTCTATACCTAGTAAAAAATCTGACTTAATAACCATCATATGGCCAGCCATATGGTGCGCCCTTATTCAGCCCAAAAAGAGTCCAAATACATTGAGTAGTTGCATTCAAATTTGAACCAACTCACTCACTTATTCTCTCAATCAACCAAATCTGATTGGAGCTTATTTGGTTGATCATATGACCATCATAAGACCCCAAAATCAGCGCCCCAAATCAGCCTTGGATGATGCCCAAAGATCTCCTCTTGATACTTGGGATTTGTTCCAACAAGATCTTATCTTATCCTTTTGTTATGAAACAACTTTTCATAGCCAATTCAAATTCGAATTCATACATTTAAATTCAAACGTTCAAACATTTAAATTCAAAATTCAAATTCAAAATTCAAAATATTTGATAATTAATTTAACTAATTAAATTTATTAATAATGTCTTGGACCATCCAAGCCCATTACATGTACCATGCGCCCTTTCCCTCTTAGGTAGGCTTCCAAACTTCTTCTTGGGCTAACAACCTTTATTAGGCCCAATACCTTTAATGCTATATTCATCAAGACAAT